TTAAATTTCTATCCTCACTTAGAGAGGTGCACCAAATCATCATCGTATTATTATATTACACTTTAAATGTGGGTTCACACATCTATATTTAAATATTTTTTAGAAAATATAACACTACTATATATGATCTAGAGAGGGGAGCATGCGTTCACGTGAACCCATGGAACCCCCTCTAGATACGCCCCTGGAGTGATGTCGCTCCTATGAAATTGTGACAAATTTCTAGAGAACTCATGGATACCGGGATAACTCATGGCCTTTTACTGCAAAATTGCGATAACGACAAAGTTTGTGCAAGTATGATGTGATAGAATAAGATCTCTAGGCTTACAAAAGAATTCTTGACTCATAAAAGTTCTAAACTTCACCAATTGTTCCATCAGTCCCTATCTTGTTTTATCCAGGTCTGGTTCACAGTCTACAAACACTAGAATCGACACATTGTACTAATATGTGAAACTCCAACAAAATATCTTATTGTATTTCTTGATATTATTTTTGAGATATATGGAAAATTGTTAGATAAAACAATTATTTTACTATCTCAAAGAATATTTAGAGCAGAAATTTATTTGGTCAAATATCATTACTTCTCTTTACTGCCAATGTCCCATCCCAACATCTCTTTTCTTTAAGGCAAATTGCCTTAATGGCCTTAATATTTTGTGTCCGTTGGCATAAGTTCATTTCTATATATATGTTGCTATAATTCTAATGTGGAGTGTGGAAAATAGAGAGCAATTCTTTCTCTTCTTCTTTTATTTTTCTCGGATTTTATATTATTTAATCTTGTTAGTTTCTGGCTCCTAATTTTATACTAGAAGAGTTTGTTGAATCCTGAGGGATACACCTACACCGGGTGAAATAAACCTTTAGGACGGTGTCATTGTCACGCCTCAAGCTTTAAAAGAATTTTCTGTAGTGTTTGTGATTTAGTATTTTCCATAAGATCTCCAACAGAAAGCACTCCGGATTGAAACCAGTGTCTATCAATGGTTAGAGAAACATATAACGTAAAACTTTGTGCTTGGTATCTGGTTTGACATTTAGGTAAATTCCCTTATTTGTAATGCACTTCTGTTGAAAGTTGCTTCATCTACTGAAAATTCTCTCTTGACTTTTGCAGTGGAGGCTTGCGTTTGAAGCGTGACATAACAGAATATGGAGAGTTTGTTCGTAGTTTCAATGCCCCTCCGGTTGATGAGAAGTTTGAACAACTTGGAATGTAAGTTGCAAGGTTTCTCGAAATTTTAGGCCTCATACAAAATATATTTTCCTCTAATGTATCCTGTTTTGACTTTTGCTTCAGCATAGCGAATGTGTTTATTGTTGCTCCTGAAAGTCTAGGCCCGTTGTTTGAGGGAACTCCAAGCATTAAGAAAGATGCTCAAAGGTAACTAAGATGTTTACATATTCATGTTCCTTTTTTGTGTTATGAATGGGTTCAAGTGAAAGGTCCACTACAGTTTTTTTAATAACCAAATTTTTTCTTTCTGAATAGTTATGTAACAAAAGGTTGAATGACTTCTATATTGTTTATCGTTGTCTGCCTGTACAAGTTTAAGGCGGACAGTTTTCTGAATTCTTTCTTTTTTCTGCAAACTCAGGTTTATTCAACTCCGTGATGATTACAAGAATGCAAAACTTGCATCAAAGCTCAGCTCCTTGTGGAGTTAGCTTAGTTGGATCAGAAATTACATCCTGAAGATAAGAAATCCGTTTCTGCTGGTAACCTAGATAGATATGGCAAAGCTCTTCCATCTCATATTGGATCTTTTTATTTTTGAGCTTGAAAATATGGGGAAGTTCAGTTAATTTTAAGGTAGTTCATCCTAATTCTAAGTCTTCTTTCGAGCTTACGTTTGGTGATTCTTCAGTCTCCCTTTGCTGGATATACTTTTGAAACCGGCAAAATTTAACTTGACTTTTGCTAGATGTGCCTGTTGCTATATTGTTAATGATCGACGAGAAAGATAAAAAAAATTCTTGGTATAAAGAGGTATCCTTTTTTCCTGTGTGGAAACTCTTTGCACTTACCAAAAAATATGCATTCTTCACACCTAGTAAGATGGATAGCTAGTAGTTATTACTTATAAGGGAAAATTGTACATAATGGCAAACTATTAATTCAAATTAAATGGTATAATCACACTTTGATTTAATTGTGTCCTGTAGCAAATTGTTTGCCAGCGCCTCTCTCTCTCAAACTCTCACTCGCCACTCTCCTCTCTCGCTCACTCTCTCTGTGCTCGCCTCTCTCGCTTTATACACAGCAGTGTATAAATTGTGTTTCTGTTTGTATAAAGCGAGAGAAAATTGTATATACACATGCAAATACATATATATTCGTCCTATACACTTATAATTATACAATAAAAATATTCCCCTGCCCAGTTTTATGCTTGTATAATGTATAATTTATGTTTGTCAACGATTTATACAAACGAGAGACTAACAACAATTTATACAAATGACCTGCCAGCGAAATTATACAATTTTGAAGAGGAGCCAACGAATTATACAATTGCTTCTTTTTGTATATATGTATAGCGAATTATACATATATATGTTTGCTATGGAGCACAATTATGCAAACTTTGCTATAGCATACAAATATGATTTTTTTGTTTGCTATATGTGAAAGTTTCTCTACTTATAATGGGTCGTACAGTGGTTCCCTTGCTTATTATGGATCGGGAAGTGTTAGAAACTTCAGACAAAAGCCTCTCTGTGTTCCCTTCTTTTGCTTCTCCTTCCTCTTCAGTTGCATGCACATAAGCAGGCTAAGTTTGTACAGTACCTACCATCACATTCTTCATGTCTCCTTCATAATGAAAGGTTTCAAATGCAAGAGTAATTTTCTGTATTTATGCCTTCTTTATGAAACATTCTTTTTAATTACATGTCAATAAATACATAAAACTTGTATATTATTGATATGAAATCGACTTTAGACGTATATCTATGAAGTTTAGTCTTGACAAATTGACTTTAGGGATAAGGGTCTGAAAAATATTCCAACTTTAGTCGGATTTGTTGTTGCGATACTAAACTTTCATAAGGACCTATTACCTCCCTAGATTATTTAATACCGTATTTTAAACATATATATTTGCCCACATGGACATAAAAAATAATGCAAAATTATAAATAGTAATGTGTCCATGTGGGCACATATATATCTTTAAAATACACTATTAAATAGTTCAGGGGGTAAAAAATACGGTATTAAATAGTTTAGGGAGGTAATAGGTCCTTATGAAAATTTAGTATCGCAACAGCAAATTCGACCAAAGTTGGGGTATTTTTCAGACCCTTATCCCTTGACTTTACATTGTTTACCTTCTGACTTCATTAGATCTGTGTATGTCCTACTTTTTTCAAATTACGCTACTAAAATTATATTGAATATGTTATTATTGTTATTTGAGGAATTGAAATTTATAAGGTATTAATGAATTATTTTAAAAGGAGGGTACCTATTGACTGGTTGTAATTTATCAACAAAAGTTAATGCTTTTTGCGTAGGGCGTTTTGATTGCTTCGTTTAGCAAATGATTTTGGATTCTTAAAGTCATTGCACATAAGTAGACACGTACATGATCGGTTGGGTTGGAATTTTCCAATATCAATCAAATAATTATTATCGTATTTTAAAATTTATAAACCAAATCAAACTAATAAAATTTGGATTTTTCAATCTCAGGATTTTTCGAGTTTTCAATTTTTTTTGGGTTTTTCCTGATAATATATTCATACAAACATATAATGAATATATCGATTTTATTGAGACATTCGGGAATCTGAGAATCTAAAGTAAGGTATGAACGATACAAAAGCGATGAAATTGGTATTGGAGAAAATATTTCGTTTGTGAATTTGAAATCAGCAATTGTAGCTGAATTAGAAAGTGATGAATTGAGAAAAAAACTAGGCATAAGATACATCTTAAAAGGTTAATTCTGATACATGACTAAACACACATAATACAAAGTTGATACATGAATTATGATCCATAATCATATGTATTGTGTCATCTTTGTATTAAGTGTGTTTAGTCATGTATTCGATACATAACAATGGATATTGTATGTATCAGGTAAAAATTGATCAATTGAGGAAAAAAAAAATAGACATCAAATACATTGTAGAAGATAACCTGGATACATGACTAAACACACCTAATACAAATGTGATACATGAATTTTGATACATAACTATATGTATTGTGTAAGCTTTGTATCTGATACATAAGAGTGGGTATTGTATGTATCGGTTACTAAAATATAATGAAAGTTAGCATGATTATGTATTTGATACATAACAGTAAATAGGATTGTATGTATCATCTAGTTTAAAATAATTGAGGTTATGTATCAACGGTAACATTTGTACCTTGTACACAAATAAAGTTATAATGTATCTTATAGTTGAAACATAAATATGATACATAAGTAAACACACGAATATCAAACAAATACATTAGAAATTTGA